AATAAACATTTCAAAAAATTCATTACATCACAATAAGTTAAAATACTACAGGGCATTTTGCAAGTCCATGAGTTTGTCAAAAACAAACTGAGAGAACCTTATGCAAAGATAAGGCAAAAGATGCTAATTTACTTCTAGGTAGCACTTTGCAGCTTTTTCCAAATTCATCTGAAAATGTAGTGATTATCTGCAGAGAAAAATAGTTAAATCTACAACCCACTGATCAGATAGAAAAACATTTGTCATTACATATCAGGGAGTGATGGCTAATTAAAGATAAATTTGGCATCATGCAACAAAAATGAACATAATGAACATTTTGAAAAATTATGATCAGATGCACATTTGGAAAGACTTATCTTTTATTTCTCCTAATCCACTGAATTAGATAATTAGCACACACTTTATTAATGCAACACAGAAATTAGGCTTTTGGAACACTTTGCTTGGGTGCCTGTATACATTAAAAGGTACTGAAGAGATGTAGGGATATTTCAAATTCACAATGGACTCCTGAACTTTAGAATACTGCCCTAAGGAAACAGGTTCTGGGCATAATTTTTTTGAGAAAGATTTTTTTAAACTACTTAGAAGCAACACTATAATTAGTTACTTACAAAAACATTTTATAAAAATTAAATACAGGAAGTAACAACATCAATATTGGAACTCTTTTTCAATGCCATAATTTATAAATATATATTAGATTACAGTAATTTAAAAGGCAGGTCCACACGTTCTCTACATTCTAAAATGAGAAAAATTCTTCAAGCTTGTTTTCAAAATATGGACAAAAACAAATCCATTGGATTACTTTTAAAAAATAAATACACAGTCTCTCCCCTACAAGTTGGTGTACTAAGTAGGGAAGATGCTAGTCAGCATTCTTTTGAGAAATACAGCTGAAAAGTGAATAGATTGATAAGACTTTTTGTCAATAATATCATCAACTCAACATGGTGCTATATAGTCAGATTAATACATTTTAACTTTACCCTTCATATGTCTGCCATGTAAGCCACTCTCTATTTTGTGCACTAAGCACAGTAAAATTTCTTTTTGCAAAAATAATTTGAGATCAAGATAACCACAAAAGAAAAGATTTTCAGGGGAAAGAGTTAATTTTCCCCAGGGAGTACATTAAAAACAAATATCTTTTGGGACATCAATGAGAAGAGGGAAGTGCCATTATTCTTGTTTTATCGACAAACTTAAAATTACAACCAGGCTTCTGTCAACCTCGATGGACAAATCTTTTGCAAATGAGAATAAAATGTTAGAAAAATCAGGCTCAACATAGAAGGAATTAGAGGGGCAAATATATTTATCCTTGTGATTTTCAGACATGGCCCATTCAAATCACAAATATTAAACTCACATAACTGAACAGTGTGAACTATAATCACAGAGAATTCATTTTTCCTTTAAAATGGTAACCAATACACCATTAAGAACATTCCCTAAATCTATTAAAGGTATAAAAAAGTGAGGTTTGCTATTGTACATAAATAAAATTCCTTCATTAATAGGCTAAAACATACTTAAGAAAACACGCATTGCCTTTCCCATCCACATTTAATTTCATTTGGGTACACAAAAGGCATAAAGAACCAATAATCTAATCTAATCAAATGGTAGAGCCCCAAAACAAATCAATTGGCAGCATTTCTTTTTGAAGGTTTGGATTGTCCAATTCTCTGAACTGTTTTTTATAAATAAAGAACCATTGAATGTTCTGATTTAGCTCTTGTGAAATGAGGGGCTCTTGTGTGATGAAATTATTCTGAAGCCCCTGTATTCACTTGGTAAGAGAACAGATTCTAATAATTAGGCTTATATTTTATTTCTTATTTTAATAATGATTTTTACAAAAATGCTCTATTGGTAATAACAAATTGCTGGAGTAACAAAACTTAATTAGCAACTTACAGGTGATTCATGAAATTAGTAGATTATTAATTACTACTTTCTGCAATTGATTATTTTGAATTATTGGCTTATTGAATATTCCTACTGAACAATTATTTAGAAAAATAATATAGAAAATTTAATCAGCTATCTATTGTTATGTAAGAAAGACATCAAAAGGTAATTGCCAGAAGTATATTTCTTGAAGAAGTACTTGCATGTAAAGTATATTAACTTAGTAGTAGTGTTTTACAGTAGATGTCATTACATTTTAATAAGTTTCTAAGAAAAGAACTCTTTTGTACTTACTACAGTTTTTTACACAAGATGGCTTAATAAGTATTCACTTAGTTCCCCAGCAATAAACTGTCTTCAGGGATTAAAACATTTCTTTCTGAACTCAAATTTACCTGGCCTAGTAACTTTCCTATATGATTGTACATAAAATCCTGCAAGATAAATTCTGCTTAAAAAGTTGAGTATTCTGGATCGCTTAACCAAAATTATTGGGGAAATAGCTCAGAAGTCATAAAGGGATCAACCGCTCATGGAGTATAATATTTTGATTATTAGACTCATAAAGAACTTAGTAATAAAGTATTACATTCCCTTATACTTTCCTATCAATTTATCTTGGGCAGGGGTGGGGAAGGTCCGGCCTTCAGGCCCTATCAGCGCATGAAATCACTTGGTCCAGCCCTGCCAAGGCAACCACAGGCGGGACTCAAAATTCAATAAATCTAGGAGCTTTTTTCATAGCTAATTTTTTGTATGGCCCTGTAATGATGTTATAAATATCCAAATGGCCCTTGGCAGAAAAAAGGTTCCTCACCCCTGCCCTAGGTAATTATAAGTTATAAAAGTAACTGGGTACTTTCTTCTTCTCTGCTTCAGCTTCTACAATTGCATCTGAGTTTTATAACAAAACCTGATGAGAAACAACATTATACTTAAGGAAAATATTCCAAAGAGACCCAAAGATTAATAATAAAACAATACTATTTTCAGAGGACTTTTGGTGAATGGTCCCCAAATGAGTTTTTGCTTTGGGGACTTGTAGGGTTCTCTGCAGTAATAAGAAACTGGGTCCCTTTGTGGGGTCATCATGTCCCATCCAACACCTTCCAGTATCACTAGGAAAAATAAGACAGCTAACAACTGATGCTGTTTTCTTTTTAAACTCCACCACGTACGTCAACATCAACTCAACACCCTCACAACAGCTTTGTGAGGTAGGTCAGGAGGTAAATAGCAAGTACCATCTTCATTTTGCAAATGAAGAAACTGAGGCACTGAAAGGCTACATGATTTGCCCAAGGTATTCAATGGTCAATAATGAAATTATAAACGGTATTAAATAATCTCTGCTCCTGGCCTACTGCTGTTTAACCACACTTCACAATAGAAGGCTGTGTGTGTGTGATCTCAAATGGACACTCTATATGACCTTTGATTGAGAGTAAAACTATCCATTGATAATTATTTAAAGGGCAGCTAATCTCAAAAAATCAAAAAACCCCTGAAAATTAGATAAATAGGATGACACACTGTTCCTTTCAGTATTTGCACAGAACTGTGTCTTTAAAAATTCGCATGATAACGCTAAGTAAAGAGGAAAATAAAAATTAAAAATTATAATTCAGGGAAAGATTACCTTCAAGAAACATATAATCATATTGTCAGAGTGACTAATTCATCTTCAAACTGGAATACTTAAGAGTGGAAGTGGGCACTACTGAAAATTCCACAGGACAAGAGGTTTTAAACTGAGACTGCGTGGGCAAGCTCAGTCCAGTCACCACTGGGTGAACCCATAGCATGGATCCTCTAAGACGTGCAAACATTTCAGGGACATAAAAAACTCTCTGTATGCATGTTTTGCTCAACTATCTTCACTTAGTAATGTGATGATTTAAAATATAATACCTAACTCTGACTTAAACACAAAGGTTAAAAAAAAATCAATTTAAAATAATTAGCATGTTTAACCAACAGGTTATTACACATTTCCATCCTTATACACAGGCATACCTCATTTTATTGAGATACACTTTATTGTACCTCAGAGATGTTACTTTTTTTTTTTTAACAAATTAAAGGCAATAAATACCCTCCACCAGCAAAAAGATTATGACTCACTTTATTGCTGTGGTCTGGAACCGAATCCACAATTATCTCCAAGGTATGCCTGCAGTTTTCTGTTTGCTATAAACCACAATTTAAGTGTTAGTAATAACAGAAAATGGATTCACTTTTTGCCTCTGAAAAACCAGATGTTCTTCTTCAAAAAGCCTAAACAGGTACCTTTAAAAATTAGAGAATTTTGTAGGACTCTGGTTATTTAAAAAAAACAACCCCACTATCTACCATTAATGTGTAGGATTCTCCTTAAATGGAATAATCGAAACTTAAATCAACATGCACAATGATAAAGGTGCACGCCTCTCTCTGAAATGAAAATCTTTTACAAAGCAATACCAAAAGCTCGCGACAATTTTGTTACTACTGAAAACTGAAAGAACTACACATTGCCCAATTACCGCACACGTGCTGATGATACTAACACTATCGGTTAAAGTATAATCTTAATTGTACATGCAAAGACCTCACTAATATGCACACAGAGCTGAAAAAGAGCTTTTTACATTCAGTTATGTCTGGTAAATAAGCCTTGTTTTAAGACATGGGTTTTGTAAATATGGTTATCGAGATCTCCAATTCTTTGGGAAATATAGGATTAACATATTCTTTAGAAATAGCAAAAATGTAAATCAAAATAAAGCTGTACAATATTATTCAGTTTGACTTAGGGCTTCTTTGAGCTTTAAATCAACTTTCCTGAAAAAAATAAATAAATAATCGGAAACAAACTGAACATGTTCTCAATATATGCTGATCTTTATCATGAGTTAAATCCCTCCACTGTCACTGTGTTCTAAGGCAGACACTTCAGGAATGATATATAATAATTTCGATTAGGAAGAATGACACTCTATTCAATGAAGAATGAACTATTATTCCTAAGATGTGATTGATTTCAGTGTTGTTTTCTATCACTGAGAATACAGTGTAAATTCTAGGGCACACAGATGTTCATAAAGACTGAACTGATTGTGGTTATTTATTCCACGAATTCTTTCAGAGTCTAAACATCATCAAATATTCTGCTGCGAGACATCGAGAGGTATCGTCCACCAGGCTGATACCTGAAAGGTGGATAAAAATATGATCTGAGGCATCAAAAATAACAGAGAGAAAAAAACAAGACACGTTACGAGGAAGTGGCTACATAATTTGTAAGCACTGTAATATCTATTCAGTAGCTGAAAGTTGAAATTTATTTTCCAAGGATATTATCCCAAAGGGATTTACTTAATTATAATCAACAACTATCTGTTTAGAGCCTAGAATACATGAATGGCAGGGCGAGCAATGCAAAAGGAAAGGGGTGGAGAGATGTAAAACAGATTATGGAGCTTAAAAGATATAACAAAACACTCTTGATTGTTGAATATAAAGAGAATATTTTTTGCTATTTATAGGCAGTAGTATAGCAAATATCCTCATGCATATGGTATTCTGCTTTTGTTTAATTATTTCCACATAGCATCGTGGCTAAAAGCACAAACTCTGTAGCCAGAATCCTGGGGTTTGAAAACCTGACTTTGCCACTTATAAGCTGTGTGACTACGGGTAAGTTAGTGAGCCTTCTGGGTTTAAACCCAATTGGATTTACAACCATAAAATATAGTATCATTGTAAAAGTGCTTAGAATAGTGTCTGACACCCAATCATAGCTAGATGGCTATTGCTAAATATGATAAATTTCATAAGTGAGATTTTCAGAAACAGACGTTGTTAAGACTGTCAATTTCAATTCTTATTTGTAATGTCACTAGTAGTTCATTAAGATTTCAGTTACTATCATTCGATGCTATAATTTTAAAAACAGAAAAGCATTAGAAGGTATAGAAAGGTATCAAAGGGTGCTTAATATGCTCTTTATTAGTAGTAAAGATGAACATTTTCCTTACACTTCAGGTCAGTATGTTATTGAGGTTTCAGAGGAATGCTGGAGCCAACATAACAAGGCTGGAGCTTACCTTCCTGATTCAGACTCAAGAGGATCGTCAGTGAACGCTTCTGCATTAAAATCCAAAGGTTCTGCATCTTGTAGGAGTTCTATCCGGTCCCTTTCAGTCCTGTTATTAGCCCTGGTATATTTGGATACTGCTGCAAAAGAAGGAAAAAGTATGTTTACTTTTCTACTGTCTTTATGGGTCACAGTCTATGAACTCACAGAAAGAAAAGTCACGATTATAAAGGATCTGAATTTTGATTGTGACAACAATGTTAAGAAAAGATAACTACATGGTTCCTCACAGTCAGATTAAAAGGATAAAAACATGACAGAAAATAACAAGGAAAAGTTCGCCTTGTAGCTGGTCTAAGCTCACAACTAGCTACAATGCAAAGACTTAATTACTACGAATGAGAGTTAATATTTAACTGTGGTATCGTAACAGTAAAATTATCCATAATCATATCAAGTTTCAGTTGGTTTTACAGTTGGTTTTACAGGGGCTGCTACACCTCATTTCTCAACTAAGATTTTCTTTAAGGTGTATTCAACTCCAGATCTTTCTTTTTTATTGAATTTATTGGGGCGACAGTGGTGAATATAATTATACAGGTTTCAGGTGTACAATTCTACAGCACCATCATCTATCTATTGCATTGTGTTACTTGACTTGGGGTGGTAAAAACACACAAACACTCAATTCCAGTTCTTTAAGAAAGGACTGAACTATATAACTTTATTAACTAAGGGCACCCCAACAAATTCAATAAAAAAGAAAAAGAAAGGCCTCATTTTTCTCCCAACAGGCAAGAGTTTAGGGCAGCAATGTCCAACAGAAATAAAATGCAAGCCCCTATTTACTTTTAATTATTCTAGTATGTACATTAAAGAAGTAGAAAGAAATAGTGAAATTAATTTTAATATATTTAACTTAACCCAATATATCCAAAATATTACCATTTCATCATGGAGCACCAGCCATATTGCTAGTGCTCAACAGCCACATGTGACTGGTCAGCACAGACCTGGACCACTAACTCTCCCTTCCTGCGTGGATGGGGTTTCTTTATTAACAATCCACATTTTCACAATGTTGCTTTGAACAGCCCAAACAGCTTCAAAATAACTACGATAGAGTTCCTTTTGAAAACTTAGGGCAAGCCAATTCTACTACATCTTACATTTTTGTCATCCTGGACTGTCTGTCCCATCTTTTCTCTCATTCATTCAGCAGATACTGGTTGCCTACCACATGCCAGGTTCTCACCAACTCACCCTCCTAAGTCTGTTTCCTCTTCTCTTAACTGTTCTCACTTACTCTCAGGTCCTTCCGCTCTGTTTACTCCCATTCCATGGTAAGCAGGCATCCAAATCTTTTTGCAAAATCCTCCCTCTACTTCCTAGCTTTAACGTTAGCTCTTCTGTCTTCCTTCTTACCCTAAGTGTCCTTCAAATCCAGCCTTTCCTCTTCATCTCCAGGGTCACTGCTCATTTTAGGCCCCCATCATTTCCCAACTGCATTACAAACAGAAACTACGCTGACTTCCGTGTCTCACTTCCCTGAAAATCTTGCTTTATATTGCTGCCAAATCCTTCCAGATTAAAAATCCGAGTGTGCTTCCTTCCAGACTGAAATCTTATCTTCGAATAAATTCCAAACTTCTGAGCACAATAATATCTGTTTCCCAATATCTCTGTAGCCTCCCCTCTAATCTGGCTCCTCACACTTCAGGCTCTAATCAGAGAAAAGCTTGTATTTGCCCAAAGGTTCTCTCATGTCACTCATTACTTCCTCTTCCTAAAACATCTTCAGCTGGCTAAGTACTATTCATTCGTGAATACTCAGTTAAGTATTTCTTTATCACAGAAATCCTTTCCCAGTAGAGAACTTCTTCCATCCCCTGAGCTGTGTTCCCTCAGCATCTCCACCAAAGACTGACAACCTCTGCCTTCCACTCAGTGCTGGTTCTGCACAAAAACAGGCTTCCTGCCACCTTTCCAGGGGCAGATGGCAGGATTAAGGATGTGGGAGGTTTCTCAATTCAACCCACTGACAGATGTCTCCTGCCTGGTTAACAGTCCCTCGCTAAATTAAGAGCAGTTCAAGGATGGAAATTTATGTTCTCTGTATGCCTGCATACCTGGGAAAGTACCCAACATATAAAATGACTGAATGTAGGCTTAATGCATTCTACTAATAGAAAAGTAAAGAAAAACATCTGGGTAAACAATAGAAATCAGTATCTGCCTAGACTATGCCTGGGGTACTATTATTCAGGGCAGTACAATTGCAACTGCTCATCTGTATCCCAGGCAACCCCTCCTCCTACCAGAATGCATCGCTGCGTTTTCCTGCCCTCCAATACACTGGAGGGTGAAAACGGAAAGTCACTGCAGAACCACATTTCTGAACGGATCCACATCCTCAGCATCTATACAAGCAAGCGTAAGAAAAATTACTCGGATAATCAACTACTCACTTCGGTTCGTACTCATATCTGAAAAATTTGACTCTTTTGGGTCAATATGAACATTTCTGTTTCTAGTGGAATCTTCTCTACTGTGTCCATAACGTTCTTTCCATTCCTAGGAGGGAAACACAGATGAATGTATAATGCAAGAAGTCACAGGCGGGAAATAATTCATTGGTGTCCACAGGTTATGTACGTAGAGTAATATAATTTAATTTTTTCATCAGAAATTCATCAGATAATCAGTATAACTAACACAGTACCTTTAAAAATCACAGGTCAATAATTTTTCTTATCTCTACATGATTTTAATAGTTTCCAAATTCAACTTTTACAAATAAAGAGATTTAGAGACATGTTTGCTAGCTATGATTACTGTTATTCAATTCTATTAAAATGTCAGAATATTACAACTACAATAAACTTACCTTGACAACGTAGAAATTATGAGAACAGAACTCCTAATAATTAATGAGATGTTAACAAAATTTTCTTCCACCTGAATTAACTACAAATAGAGAGCCCTCTAAACGCATGTCTGGTAGCGAAGTTAAAGTTGTGCACAGAGATAATCCGATGATGACTTGCATGGCACTGTGTGGTCTGAACTTCACTAAAATCATATTCACTAGGATTCTGCTCATGAAATTCTTAGAACTGAAAGGACCATGAGAAGCCACCTAATTCAACCTCCCCTGCGGTGCAGGGTTTCATTCTAAAGCAGCCATGCAGATGCTTTGTGGCTCTCTTACTGGATGACACTACATTTCTGTGCGTGGTCACCCTTGCAATTCTGGTAAAACGAGGACGTTTTCAGAGAGAGGGGAACTACATCTCCAGTAACTTCTACTCTTTGGTTCTAGTCATGCCTCTGAAATAAAACACAAGTCTCCTTTTACACGACATGCTAAGACCGAGAAGATGACCGGCAGATGTCCCGCGTCTTTCAGCACAGACACTTCTCCAGCACAGACCCAGGCGATGGAACTCTGGTGACTGTGACTGGGCTTTTCCCATTTTTTGCCTTTTCACTGTAGGGGGTTAGTTAGCCTCAGCCAACATGGCTAAAGAAAAACTGAAGAGGAATAACATGAATATCATGTTATAGAGAAGAACAATTTTAAAGCAGTCAGAATCACTTTGGTGATAAGACTGCATGAACTTTTTCATTCATTTAGTAAGTACTCACTGAGCATCTACCTTACGCAAGACACTGCTAGGTGTTGGACATGAATTTATTACTAATGAATTTTTAAAACACGTCTGACAGGGCACCTAGCATGTATATCTGAAACTAGCAAAATTACCTTTCTTTAAAAACATATCTTACGTCTTTCCCAGCTACTCTCTGGCCTCTAGCCAACTGTTCTCTACCCATGAGAGTTGGTCATTCCTGTTCACCCATGGCTTAGGGCAGTTTAACAAGCACTGTACTTACCCGTCTTCGATTTTCACCTTCTTCTTGCCTTTGCCGTTTTCTCTTCTCTAAAGGCAGAAAAGGGGTCTCAGATTTGGTGCAACATGATTTAATGAGATGCAGAGTAACTGAAGTAAAGGTATCAGGCCATGGCCAATTTCCTTTAAATTACCACAGAGTCAAAGGTAAAAGGCTGCTGTTGGAAAGGACCTTGGAGACCACCTAGCTGCATTGTGCTGGGGACGGCCCCGCCGGCTCTGTCTATCTCAGCGAGGAAAAAGTTCCTCACGGGGACTGGAGACTTCCTCCTCTGTAGCTCCTCTCTCCTTATGTCCTGTCTTCTGAACATGTCATACTTCTTTCTGCATCAGAGCGCCCCCCTTAGTCTCTTCTGGCTGCACACTCAGTGGTGGGTTCCCCCCCGATAAGACATGCTTCACAGTCTTGATTCTGCCCTCTAAATACCTCCTGACTTAACATTCTTACTCTTGAAAGTCTTACCCAGGACTGGATAGGACCCTCCAGATGAGGTCTAATTAATGCAAAAGCAGTAGAACTATTACATTAACTAGACACGCCTTCCTATGAGAGCATGTGAAGGCTACCCCAGCTTATTTTAGAGCCACGACAAATTTTGGCTTACATTTAAGTAATGATCATATAAAAGCCTCAGACCAACTAGGGACAGTACCTGACAATCAATGTCCCAAAACTCCAGTTCTGTTTTCTTTCCCCTATCCTACCATCACTTGAGCATCAGGGAATGTGACACACTCAACTCTGAGATTAGATTCTAGTAGAGTGGCACACAGTCCAACAGGTTGTTAGTGACCACCCACCACATTCTAAAATCCAGCCTTGGCTTCAATGATTTCCTATGCAGTATTAAACTGATGATTTTTTAAATTAACAAGCTTTATAGTAGTGTTGAACTTGGAGTATCTGCCTCAAAGCAAACATGAAAATGACTCCAGCACCATACAAGGGCATTATTTAGCTGCAGACATACTAAACAATTTCTGCTGCAGAATTTCTTAAAGACAGATGAGACAATCACTTATGTTTTCAAATTATTTTTGCTATGAAGCCTTTATGTAGGTTTTTAGCTAAACAATATTAATTTGTAATTTCTTAAGCTAGATTAAGTATTACAAATTATACAAACATTAATTCTGTATTCTGAGTCTTTGCACTTTCCCTTCACTTATTTTAAAAGACAAATCTTACCTCGCCGGATTAATTCTTTTCCTTCATCGACTAAGTCTGAGGTCATATCATTATCTCCCATGAACTGCTGGAAACCAAGTAGATTCAAACAACGAGTTCCCAAACTAATAAAAGTAGATTTTCAAAAGAAAAATAAGCATTATTTCACACTGTAAATGTTTAAACTGTTTTTTAGTGCTGTCACCCTCAAAGAAACCTATGTTTTATTATTAGTTATCATGGCAAGTTACATAGTTATATTTGTCTTCAAGAAGTACTTATTTCCCTTTCTAAGAAGCTTATATTCCCAGCATGCCACTTGACTAGTCTAAGATTCTACCACTTTTTCTAATCCTATACAAAGAGCAGCCCATGTACCTCCCAGCCTTACTAGTACTGCCTCCTCACCTGACTTTCTGTGTTGGCCATGATCTGAAGCATCTAGAAGCCCAGCAATGATTGTGGGGAAAGTCCTAAGACTAACTGTTGTTACTGAACACAAGCTGGGTGTTGGGTGTTTTATAAGCTTCATTGGCTGCCAATGTGGAAGGCCAGGATTTCCAGTTAACATTCTGTAATCAGTCCTATCACTCTGTAGCCTAAGTATTTGTAATGAAAACTCCACCTCTCTTTTTCTGAAAATATCTTCGGAAAAAGAGCCTTACCTAATCACTCAAGCAGTCCCTTAAACTATTCCCAGCATCCCCGAAGTCACAATAGAGCAAACAACAACCAAAGCCAAGCAATAAATATTTAAAAGAGTTTTAAGAAGAAAGGGTACCCAGATCAGGCTAAGCATACGTGAAAAAATAAGTGACGGTAAGTTCCTTACCTAAAATACGTAGCAATGCAGAGAATTACCACCAGCATAGGATAATATATGTAGAATCCATCTGCAATAAAGGACAAAACTTTCATGGAACCCATAATCTGAGAAGAAAAGAGTAGGAAAAAATAAGTTAAATCAGTACAATTCTATATTTTTTATTTTTTCGATCATTAGAAAATTCACACATAACCAGTTATATCAATATATTTAGACTTCTCAAAAAAGTATAAATAAAACACTAAATGGACTGATTTTTAAATTCTCATCACAAGAAAAACAATTGTTACTGAGGTGATGAATGCTGACATTTCACGATATATGTATATATCAAATTATTACGTTGTACGACTTAAACTAATATAATGTCATATGCTGCTTATATTTTAATTTGCTTATTTATTAAGGTTTTCTCCAAAAGAAGATTAGTATTTTATAAACATTACTGAAAATCTCATTATAGATTAAGACTATAAATATAAAAGTTACTATTATTACAGGTCTATTGGATGACCTATGTGAACCAGAAAACATTTTTTTTATAATAAAAGAAAGCAAAATCACTTTTATCCAGTCATTAGTTATATATACAACCTTTAAAAAAAAGTTTTAGTTATTTAAAAAAAGTTCCAAATAATGCTTTAGAACTTTTCTGAGTTAAAAAGAACTTTCCCAGTAATAACATCCCATACAGATGACGAGCCTGCAGAACCCGCAGAACCCGCTTGCTGACCATACTCACAGACGTATAAGCAGTTGGCTGCGTATTCTGGTGAGAGATGGAGGAATCCATGTGGGTCAACCCCAGGAAATTAAGACATAAAGGAGGAGTCAAACGGCAAAATAACCTGCAATAAGCATTTATAGATAGGTATATAAAAAATAAAGCAAAATACATTTTATGTTATAGTGAAATGTATTAAAAACACTTCGGGTCCTTGTAACTATTATTTTCATCTAGCTGTACTGCATATATTTTGAATTAGTAAACGTGAACTCCCCTTACTTCCTTGGGAGACATTCTGAAAATCCTATTAATCGCATCTTCCTTAAAAACATCGTCAGTCACCTATATGGCAAACTCCAGTCTCAGGCTGCCTGCTTTGGTGGAGCTTGCCACTGCTTTATGCCAAGAACTGGTGACATGCCTTTGTGTGTGTCTCCTCCAAGTCTGCCATCTGTGCTATCTGTCTCAGCAGCATGACAAGGACAGTAACATCCTTAAGGTGAACTGTGCTCAATACATGAAAGATCTGAAGCTGTATCAAAGTACGTCACTCTGATAACTATAGGTATAAGGAACTGTTAGACAGCAATCTATCTAGATAGAAAGAGAACCATGCAGAAGCACAGAGCTGAAGAATGGGGGACAGAAAAATGAAGGGAGGGCGGGTGAAAAAGGTGAAGGTATTAAGTACAAATTGGTAGTTATAGAAAAATCATAGGGATATAAAGTAGCATAGGGAATCTAGTTGATAACACTGTAATGACTATGCATGGGCCCAGGTGGGTACTTGAAATATTGTGGGACCACTCTATAAAGAACATGATTGTCTAGCCAGTATGCTGTATATCTGAAACTAATACAGAATAATACAGGACGTAAACTGTAACTGAAAAAAAGAGGTAATATGAGGAATGTTTTGGTGGTGATAAAACAGTTGTGGTTATAGGAATCTACACACACATACACACACACACACACACACGAATAAAAGATAAAAAATAGTGAGAATTAAATAAGGTCTGTGGTCTAGTTCATAGTACTGTGTCGATGTAAATTTCCTGGTTCTGATATTGTAGAACAGCTATATAAGATGTCTCCATTGGGGAAAGCTGGGGGAAGGTTAATAGAACTCTTTGTATTATATCTGCAAGTTCCTATGAGTTTATAATTATTTGGGGGAAAAGGTAAAGAAAGCCTTAGAGGTGCTTTGTATATTGATTCTTCTGTGAACCTACCTAGTCCAGTCCTTATAAACATCCAGAATGATAATTTAACAACATGGACAAATAACAGATTGTGCAACCTAGCCCAAGCTGAGGGTCTCTTTCAAAACTCTTGCTAAATCTCATAGCAAAACTTTTTCCTGTTGGTTTTTCCAGTCCTCCAAAATTCAGTTTGAGGCCACTGAATCTCATAATACTCTCTAGGTCTGATTTAGTCTCTAGAATCTCAAATGTTCCTACTTTTTACTAACCTATCTACGGAATCTCTAATGGTAAATCCAGGTTCACTATGTCTTTCTTTAATACCCTAATCTAGCATACCTATTTTAACCTTAACCTTCAAGCAGTATTTAGCTAGCAATCAACAAGCATCTAATTAATAGTTAAACCTAATCAATTAGTTCAGAGAAATACAGGTGTTAGCAGAAGACTCATGAATAACATGAAATAAAAGAGCTCCATAAGGATACATGCAATAGAGACATTTCCCTGGTTTCTAAATACAATCTACTTACATGCCACTGAAAAGAAGGCTGTAAGCATCGGTCTGGTGATGTGAAGCCAGGTAGTAATAGTTAAACACGCGAATCCTGAACACAGTAGAATACACACAGATGCTTAGGAAGAAGATGGAAAGGAAGCAAGCAATCTGCAAAAACAAAACAAAAACAAACCCAGATTAAGATCAATGGACTTCAGCACTTCATATGTTGTCATAGCATTATCCTTTACATCTGGTAACATTAGTTGACATTCTAAAATTTAAATACAGTAACAAATTTTTTTAGCCATTTAAGAAAATCTACATCTCAGCCAGTTTCACATCCTATCCCTAATTACAAATCTACCTCTTGCAGTGAGCCTGGTCTCTCATTCCCTTGGCGGCTCTTCACATGGAGACTATAAGTTATGTTGCTTCGCTGGCATAAAGAAAATGCAAGTACTCTCAAAAGAGTACTTTGCACTATTTTTTATCTTTTCCTCTCTCTTCAAATACAGTCCTTAGTTTTTATAGTCTGGGTAAACTGATGAAGCTTATTTTTGGAAGTTTGAATAATAACTTCACTGCTTTCCTTATTGCTAGAAGAAATATACAAAGAAAAGATACTACAGTTAAGGATTATGCTATGAACTGACATTTACTTATAACAAATATAAAATAAACTGACCTCGATATAAATATAATTGTATGTTTTCTCAGCCAGCTGTATGAAGACCGCAAAGAGGGATAAGACAGGTGTGGTGCTAAAGAAAGTGCACTCTGACCACACGACAATCACAGAGAAGATGGACAAAACCACAGCAAGTATTCTGTAAAACCATGGTCGCAAAAGACATTCCCAGTACCATTCTGGAGGAGAAAAGAAAAGAAACCGATTAGGAACACCACAGGGTTTCAATATATCTCCATATAAGGTACATAATTGCAAAGAGAAAAACAGCAGGTTTACAGTGGAGGGAGCAGGCGGACACCATTCCAACCAAATGACCACCAGTAATGGGACAAGTATCTCATGCGCCTCCTACTATGATGCGTGATGAGAACATATCATCACTGCTGTGGTGTTCCTGCCAAAATGACAGAGCCTACGTCTAATCAAGAGAAAACATCAACCTCAAATCCAGGGACACAGCAAAATCCCAAGCTGGCCTGCACTCTCCCAAAATATCAATGTAGGAGAGTTTGGGTGAAGGGTATATGGAAATTCTTTGTTATTATTCTGGCAACTTTTTGTTAAGTCTGACTTTAGGTAAAAATAAAAGTTAAGAAAAGAAGAAGAAAGCTCACAAAATTGAAAAGGCTCCACAGTATTTCACTTCTTTCAGTGAAGAGTTGAGCTCCTGGCTCACTCTAAATCTTTTCAACCCTACTCTCAGCATCATTAATTCCTGGTGATTTCAATATCCACATAGGTGATATTGAAACTTTCAAAACTCTGGTCTTTCACTTCCTTGGCCTCCTCTCCTCCAAGGATTCTGCCCTCCACCCCACCTCAACTACTCATTCCCTAAACCTTTTATTGCCAATAACTGCACCCCTTCCTTGTAATCTCATTACAGCATCTCTGTGTCCAAGCAACACCTTCAACTAGTATTCCAACTCTACTGCCTGGAACAACAATCCATTTATTCTACCTTTTTATTGCCACTTAACACCTGATGTCCTTTATTGCTTTTGTTACCCAGCTCAGACTCCATAATCTTTGAGGGTAATCACTCCACAATATCCCAGTTCTTTTGCTTCCTCTTACTTCCCTATACTTGCTAAACCAGACTACGCCCTGGTCACCAACGCCTTGGCTACCCTGAGCCTGCACCTGTGGAGCAGGTCACCGCAGGAGGAAGGCACACAACTTTGTTGACTTGCCTCACTTTAAATTCTTAATCACTAGCTCCAAGTAGACCCTGAGCACTGCCTGGCTAGCCTACTGTGATTCACCAATTTTCTCCCATGCACAATCTCCTAAGCAACTGTTCTGAAGCTTCTCTTCTTTCCTCAGCTCCCCAAAATCTCTTTCCCTATACTTACTCCCAGAAGAACACCTCCCCGTTCCCACCATGCATCTTCTATCGGCTCAGGTGCACCTGTGCCTCACCGCCTACTCTAGCCTTTCTGCTCAGTGTTCACCACTTCTCATTTCATCTCCCCCACACATGAATGTCACCCCAGCCACCTCTTCTGTGTCATCCAGCTTCCCCTCAGATACCATTCGCAACTGGCCTGCTATAGTTTCTCATGATCCGCCATCTGCCTTCAGCTTCTACCTCTTCCTTCTATTCCCTTTGTAAGAAAAACATTTTGAGAGTTTTCTAGTCTTACTGTTTCTACCTGCTCTCCTTATTTCTTTTAAACTCCAATCAAGCTCTTTATACCCTTACCCTACCTCACCTCTCTGAAATCCAATGGGCCAGTCTTAGTACTCATGATGATGGCCCTACCTGCAACTCTGAAAAGGTACTTCATACACCCTCTCCCTCAAAAGACCTCACTGCCCGCGCTTTCCTATCTCATGGGCCACTCCGCTTCTCCTCGGTTCTGCTGGCCCCTCCTCCTCACCCTGGCGCCTCAATCCTGGAGTGCCTCAGGCTCGGTCCCCAGGTTCTCTCTTCGCTACCCCCTCCCATGGTCGGCCCATCCACTAACGACTCCCTATTATATTTGCAGACCAGACTTCTCCTCTGAACTCCAATTTCTAGAGCCAACGACCAACTCGTCATATTATTACATTTTTATGTGTAAACTGCGTTTTTCTCACTCCACAAGGACAGAAATTTTTGTCTTTTCTACTCATTGTCACATCATTCCCTCATTTGATTAGGAAAGATCTTCACTGAATAAGATTTCTGGGATATCTGTTATGACCACCAAGTCTTCATACTGAAGCCCAAACATGCAAAAGAGAGTCAAGTGAACATGAGCATCTATTTGAAGCCCTAAGGCAAACAGGAGGTTAATACCATAACATTGGTGTTTTCATTAAAGTCTTCATACTAAATTTGATAACACTGAAGAAAGCATCATAATCATAAAGGAAAATAGAATAATTATGTCTAGTGACTGTAGGTTTTGTAAACAGACTAATAAATGGAAATGGAGTATTTTTTAGGGGAATATTTTAGTTGTATGTCAAGACTGAAGGAGAGACCCAAGCTTGTAATGTAAAATTGCTTAGAATTCTAATTACTTTAAGTATACATTATATATACAAAATATGCTGGATATATTGCACGTATTTTTGCATAGAATTTTGGTTATCTGTGAGGTAACAGTGCAATCTGACGGATATGTTATATGATAAGTAAAATAGTGTTTTTGGAGGGGGGAAGTTAATCTGATATATAATGTTATCACATGGTATAAGTCAAATAATACAAATGCAATTCAACTCCACATTGGTGAAAACACATACAAATTTTCTTCAGAAAAATTATCATCATTAAACTTAAAAGTTTATATCAAATTACATACCAACTGTAGGACTATAAAAATATTGGACAAATCTATTTTCTGGCTCTGGCGATTGGAAGGTGTGAACAAACTGATGAGTAGCACTAGTTTCATTTTTTGCTACATCTTCTAGATAAAATGCTTGTTCCAAAAGAATCTGCCATTGTACTTGAGTTCGACGGTGCCTCTGAACTGAATAAATAACCTAAAAAAGGGAACAGGAGGCTTATCTGTCAGTGTTCGGATCCAACAGTGGTTCAACTCCCCATTAAGGGGCATGTTTTGGTTGTCACGACAATGGGAAGGGCCAGTAGCGTTTCCTGGGTGGGGCCAAGGATGTTAACATTCTGTAATATATACAATAGTTATGTTCAGTGAATAATTCTCCCTCCCCAAATGCCAATAGTACCCCTGTCAAGAAACACGAAGATAAAACACTTCGCTCAAAATTCCTTCTCTGTGGGCAGTAATTATAAATCTAACTAATAAAGTTACCTGTTTATGTAGTTTCACCAGACTTTTTTCACTTGGATAGGTATTATGCTTTTCATCAAAATCTTCATAATCATCCATGTTCCTACCCATTTTTTCCTGATACTCTGTAGGGCACTAAAAGGAACAAGTAGACTTTTAAAAATCTTATTTGCAAAACGATAAAAATTTTATTTTTATTAAATCTTTTTCATTCTTAGGCATTTCTAATTTTCTCAAAAATATCTTCCTTTATTGTCATCTCTAAATAGTTGCACGTTTTGTTGACATATTTTTGAAATGTTTTAAAAGATGCATTAAGCTCTGGCCAGGTGGCACAAAAGTTTGTTGGAGCATCACCAAAAGGTTGCGGATTCAATTCCCAGTCAGGGCACATACCTAGGTTGCAGGTTCCCAGGTCGGGGTGCATATGGGAGGCAGCTGATTGATGTTTCTCTCTCTCCCTCTCTCTCTCAAATTACATTGAGTTTCTTCTTACCTCTATTAATATTAATCTTTGTGCTCAGATATACTAGCTGGGGATGGGTAAGGCAGGGGAGCTTACCTATATGAAGCAACTAGTATTTAAGAGGATTTTTCTAGGTAAGCACCTAATGAAACTGTCAATTATTTTTCTAGCTAAATAATGAAGAAGAATCATAACAAATCCAAGATGCTGAATTTTTGAAAAAGATGGTCAGAGAAACAAATGCATGACTTAGAGTTACCTGTCCTGCTATTCATCATTTATTCTCTATATGTACTTGAGCAAGTTAGTTAACTTCCCTGAATAGGTCTCAAAAGGTAGGAAATATGAGAGAAATTATTAAGAGAACTGATTTTCATGACTATCATCTTAACCAAAAGGAATACTAGCTAAAAATCAGTATAATAAATTTAAAATATAGGAAAAGAGATAGTTCAGTTGTTCCATGGTTGCAGAGAAGATAACTGGGGAAATTATGTTTTGAAGAATCATTTTTGAAAGTATATGAGTACTCCCAATTCAGTAACAATACATCAAACCTTAATTGTGTGGCTTCTTATTAAATATGTGTTAAACATCTCATGTCATATTTCATATATCATAAAATGACTAAAACAGATTATTAAGACCCTCATTTATTTTCTTACAGGAGAGACGCCTTTAGTCACCTCAGTCAATGACACTTTTACAAACTGTAAAGGTCCAGCTCTCTCGCTGTGTTGTGGCAGTCGTTATACATTACTTGACAAAACCTCTATACCCACATTTCAATGGAAAATACTGCCAATAATTAATGTTAAACTTGTAATACAAAGGAACAAATTCGATGTACACATTACTACTGGTTTATGGTCAATATTTCCATGAAAATAAAAAGCAGTTGGGAAGAATTCAGTCACAAGATGTTTTAATACTTTCCCGATATTTTCATTATAATGTAAAAACTTATATATGAAGGGAAAATAGATGCAATATGATTTAATTACCTTTTTAAGTATTGTGTCAACACATTTTCTCAATGGGTGGTTATACTTGATGCTTTCATTCACTTTGCGAACCTCCTGTACAAACAATGAGAAAAGTGAAAATATTTCTATTTCTATAGATTGGATGTTTCATCTCTAGGCACTATATAAATATATATTCTCACAAATTTAATTTCAACTCACATGGCTTAGCATTTACATGAAGTTCTATTCACTGCCTAAAAGTAAAAATACATACAAAGTTATACAGGGTGGGGCCCAAGTAGGTTTACGATTGTATGTGAAACAGTTTATTTTTGTATTATTTATTAATTATTGTGTTATCTTCCATATGAACGACTGTAAGCCCACTTGGGCCCCGCCCTGAATAACAGCTATTTCCACACACTCACATTTTTTATACTTTCTAGACTTGGTACACAAAGACAAATAAACATAAAAAAGGCACTGAGGATCAGACAGACTTTGCAATCCTAAAAGAACAGGACTGTGCTCCTTCACCTTGCTCATCAAACTGAAGTGTCTCGTTATCTAAAATACAGTGAAGAAGCCAGCGGACGCAGACCAGGTGCCAACGCCACAGAACACACACTCCTCTCCAGTGGGCGAGTGCTGCGCAGCAGTCAGCACGCGTGACTCCCCCATGCTTGTTCACCAAGAGCACATGACAGGCCCGCACTGTGCTATGCGTAAGATCACCACAACCCATACTAGAGGTGGAGTGGGAAGGCATAGTGTTAGAGCTGTTTGACTAAGATTAGAGTCTACTGCTAAAATAACTGCATAAGCAATTTAATGAGTATGAAAGGCACAGAGGGGTTAGGGAGAGGACTCTTTAGAATCTTTTTTACTTTTATGATTCTAAAAGAATCATAATATTCTAGGATTTTAATAAAAATTTTTAAAAGTTGGAACTACTTTTCTAGAGAGAATAAACAACATGTTCAAAGGCTGGGAAGCAAGAGAGAACTAACCAGAACGTTAAAAAAAACATTGTAATTGTAGGGCAGAAAATGCCCTTAAGGTACACAAAACTGGGGGCAGGGAAGCCATCTGGCATATAGACAAAGTTATGAAAAAATATTTGTAATTTATATGACAAAAAATCACTATCCTTAGTATATGGAGAGCTCTTGCACGTCAACAGAAAAATGGGAAGATGCAGAAGAAATACAACTGGCTGATAAATGTCTGAAAAGATATTCAAGCTCACTAAAAACAATTACAAATTTTAAAATGAGAACAATTTTCTTACAAAATTATAAAAAATTGGCATCATGTAATGAGGTAAGGTTGTGGGGAAACAGGTCCTTCTATACACAGTAAAATATGGAAGGTAATTTAGCAACATCCCTCAACATTTTAAATATGCAGATTCTGTGAATGATTTGTACCAAAAGACATTGCTTAACAAGTCTGAAACACATTAATCAAATAGGAGTGATGAGGAAACTGCTGTATAATTTCGTGTGGGAGATTTCATGATGGACTGATTATTTAACCTGAGATAAAAAGCATGAGTGGGAGTCAGCCCATCAAAGGAAGGGGAGAGAACACCAGACAGAGGGACAGCATGTACAGAGGTCTCCAAGCAGAAAAGAACAAAGAGTTTCAAGGAACTACAAGAAGTCCGGTGTGACTTTGGGGAAAGGCAGAGGGAGGGCTTGAGAAGAGCTGGGCCAGGCTGAAGAATGACTTCAGCAAAGGACGCCAGGAGTCCCCGATAACAGGTTATTTCAAGGACAATGAGTAGGGCCTACACAGGGGATTAACCAAACAAGGCTGGGGTTTTATTTAGTTTTATTTTTTACTATTAGACTTTATTTTATTTTTAATTTATCTTTATTGTTGAAAGTATTACAGATGTCCCCCTTTATTCCCACCGATCCCCTCCACCCTGCATCTGCCCCACTCCCAGGCCTTCCCTGTACTATTGTCCGTGTCCCTGGGTTATACATTTATGCATAAGTTCTCTGATTAATCTCTCCCCACCCACTCCCCCACCCTACCTTCCCTCTGAGATTCTTCAGTCTGTTCCACGCATCTATGAAGACTCGAGTTTTTAAAAGGTGCTTGAAGCATCATTATATTACAATTTTCCATTACTAAGCTGCCTTAGAGTTTTCTTGACTTGTTAGCAAAATTTTGAATATGAACTATACAGTCTGGTTATATATTTATATATGAAATATCATATATTTTCTTCACACTCTTTAGCCATATTAAACCAAAATAAGTACTGAAACAGTTAACCACTGATATCTGCTGTATCTGTTATAAAAGTAAGTTTCCTTCAAGAGTTCATAATTTTTATAAAGCGTGGAAGTATTTAAAATATTAGCTTATTTTCCTCAAATAAAACATAACTGAGCTCTGTCATTACTGGGCCTACTCAATTCTTTCCTAGGCAGGTCAGGCAACATCCATGAAGTCAGGCTAACAGGCAATTTTTAGCAGAAATGAGTAGCTGTTTCTCCCTCTCACAAATCCCTTTCCTTGAAAAATGACAAAAGGTAGAAGTGACTTCTTTGGCCATATAGCAAATAACCTTTGAACAGTTTGACATGGCTTATAAGTTTATTAATGCTTCAAAGAAAATAATAGACACACAGATGGAGCATACATTCACTTCATAGAGAAACATAAAAACACTAAACCAGTTTTTATAAAACTGCATTTGGAAGATTTTATAGATAGCTGAAAAATATAACCACTAATTCCAAAAAAAAGGTGACTGAACTTGTGGTCTGTTAAAAGATGTATCCAAAACCAGTGTGTTTTTAAGTTTTCTCTCAAAGTAAATTACTCATATTCTTGTCCCATGCTTTCCTCTGAACACCTCCATCAGACTGACCATCCTACACCACAGGAGCATGTCTTCTTCCTGCATGCAAGGTGTCAATGATTCCTCATTGCTTTCAAAATACAGTCTGGTGGACTTTTCAGTGTGACAGTAAAGGCCCCACTACCTGGCTGCAACCTATCTTTCAAATCTTGCAAGCTTTATATTTCCAACATAAACCTTATGCTCAATTAATTTGGTTTTAAAACCTCCTGATATCTGACAAGGATGCTGCCAGTTATAAAATATTCTACCCATCCTTCAAGGCCCAGGTCATATTTCACCTCCTCCCCTGATCACTATTGAGAAGTGACACCTCTCTATATTAGAGCACTTCCTTTGTATAAGTCACATCACATTCACCAAATACTACAAAGGACTGCACAGTTCTCCAGTCTAGATAGTTAGTATCCTAATAGAAAATGAAATAGGAATTAGCCGAAGAGAGTGGAGAAAAGAGTGTTCCAAGAGTTTGGCGATAGCATGCTCCAAGGGAAGGGAGGCAATGACTGGAGTGGTTAAGAGCAGGCATCAGAAAACCAGACCAGACCAAAACCCAACACCTGTTCTTGTGTGGGACACATCCACGCTCACTCATTTACATATTGTCTATGGCTGCTTTCATGCTACGGTGACAGAGTAGCTGCATACGAATCCTAAAATACTTACTATCTGGCCCTTTACAGGAAGTTTGAGGACCCAAACTTGACCAGTGTGAGGAAAACAGAGGCTAGAGATAAGGGTGGAGAGCTAAACATGGGCCAAATCATTTGTCAGTAGGCTGCAATAAAACATTTTGGAGTGCACGGCCGCGCGTGGTTTAGCAGTTGAGTGTCGGTCGACCTAGGATCTAGGAGATTGAGGTTCGATTCCCGGTCCGGGCACATGCCCCGGTTGGGGGCTCGATCCCCAGTCGGGGGCGTGCAGGAGGCAGCCGATCAATGACTCTCTCATCACTGATGTTTCTATCTCTTTCTCCCTCTCCTTTCCTCTCTGAAATCAATAAAAAAAAAAATTTTTATTAAAAAAAAAATTTGGAGTTTATTGAATGAATAAACTAACATGAATGAAAAGCCTTCAGCATGAAGTTTTAAGGTGGAGAGTAACATCATTAGAATAGCATATTTTCCCAGAAGACCAAAATGTAAGGTGACTACAATAATCTCTTTTTAAATTAATAACCAAATTATTTAACAGCAAATTTTTATAATTTTTTACATACTTTTATGTATATTAGTGGAATTTATACTTTCAACAACTTTGTGAAGTTAGTTCAAGTCATCTGCATTTTATGAGCAAACTGAAGTGCCTTATTAAGATTACAGATAGGAAACAAAAGTTATTGATACAAATTTCCATGCAAATTGTTATCTGAAGAAGTTTCCAGACTTCGTAGGATTCCTTTGGGTTAAACTTTCAGGAAGAAGTGTTCTCTGATTCCTAATTTTCACTTCCACTATGTCAGGGTAACTATATAACATCATCTAATCTGAGAAACTTTTGAGAGAAAAAGGGCACTATTAGAACTTACCCAAAGAAAACAAGCATAACCCTGGAGATGACATCTCATGAAGCTGAACTGCCAAAGAGAAGTCATCCTAGTGGATAAGAATTGCACCACACCAAAATTTAAGTTTAACGTCCATCAATGCCCTAACAACAAACCGTGTATCCAAAAGGAAATACAACTTGCTGTCGACTGAAAAGTTTAAACTTGCTTACCTCCATGACATCTTCTAAAGTCTCTTCTGCATCTGCTTTCTCTGTCATCAATTTGGCTGCCTTAAAATAAGTTTTCATAAGTAGATAGCCTCTTTTTGCTCCATTCCAGTATGATCGAGGAATTTCCACCAATCCATACCCCAACAATAACACAAGAAGAAACAGACCCCATGTATTTGCAGCAGCTATCCCAATTGTCTGAAGCTGATTCCTAAGAAAGAGAACAGAAGCAGACAGCTGTGATAAATTTTTCCAACAAAAAGGTAAAATGAAACTAACTAGTGTTAAATGGTTTTTCAGAGACCCACCACCCTATAGGATGGCTAACACTTTATATGAAAAAATTAGAGCTTCAAATCCTCAGCTACCCTTTTAATAACAGCGGATGTTATTCCATATTTTCCTTCTTAGTAATATGGGTTATTCAGATATTCTTTTTGAAGAATCTATAAAACATATAACTTGTTATGTTTCTTGATGAAATTTCTGTTTATACCTACATATGAGATAAAAGTTAATTTTATAAAATGGAAATATACACAGAAACAATGTTAAGAAGATGATTTTCCTTACCATTCTAAGTGCAAATGTGGGTTTACAGCTACATAAATTAAAAATGCTCCAAAAATCAGCAAGTAGGTGCCATAATAGATGGCATTCTCAATCAGTGCGGTCTTGATCTTTCCAGTGATAGAAAACCCTCCTGATCTTGCATATGACTGCATAAAAGGTAAGAGAATCCTAGACGGTTGGGAAAAATATGAACAAAACACTTAATATGTCTTTATAATCTCAAAATATCAGAAATATGTGAATCTCAATTTTAACGTATAGTTCTTTCTACAAATACAACTTTGAGTAATTATTAATACCAAACAAACTATAATAGATGAATACTTTTGTATTGTTAAATTTGGGGGGGAACAGAGCACATTCCTAGGAGCAAAGGAGGCCACAATGACCAGCAGAGAATATAGCAGTGAGTGATTTACGATGAGTCTAATAAAAATACTTTAAAGCCTTTATGAAGAGTTTGCATCCAAAGAGTAATAAGGAACCATTTTCTTTAACAGAAAGGAGGTATGATCAAATTTTAGTTTCCTAAATACTGTTAAAACTTCAGCATGGAGAAGGGACTTAAAGGGAACAAAGTTGGAAGTATCTGTGTGGTAAAGAGCAGGAAGGGAGAAGACTGGTTGTCAATATACTGATTTTGAAGTGCCTAGGACACATCCCCAAGGAGCTGCACAGGAAGTAGTTGGCTATCCAGCTTCAGAGTTCAGGAGGCAGGATGAGAAATTAGACAGATTTGGAGTCATCACCATAACAATGACACTGAAATAACATCAGTACACGAGATCTGGAAGGGTGAGTATGTGGCATGAGAAGCAAAGAACTGAGGCTGACCCTCAGAAATATCTACGTTTAAAGGAGAGGTAGAAAAACAGGAGGAGGAGAGGCCGGAAAAGAAGACTCAGACAGAAGAGTAGAGAGGCATGGAAGAAAAATAAGAAGTATGTATGGAGTAGAAACCAGGAGAGGCGCGTGCTTTAAAGTGGAGAGAGAAAGCAACTGCATCAAATGCTGCCAAAAGGTCAAATAAATTAAGAACCTGTGTGAGTGGAAAAGTAGGGACAGAAAAGAGTTCAGCAAGCTGAGGAGAGAGGAAGCAGTGAGCAAATGGAGACACTAAATGCAGACAATTCATTTAACCGAAGTTTGGCTGGGGAGGGTAAACTATGATATAGTCACAAAATGGAACATTTTACAGAAATGAAGAATACCAATACATACAGCACAACACAAAAGACTCTTCCAGATGTATAAGCAAAAGAAGAGGCAAAAAGTACATTCTGTATAATACTGTTTCTAAAGTTCAAAAACAGGCAAAGCTCCTCTATGGTGATGGAAGTCAGAACCATGGTTACCTTCGGGAGGGTAATGACTGGGACAGGGTGTGAGGGAAGCTGTAACTGTGATAAGGAGTAGATCGTCAAGGTGGAAGATAGACAACTGGAGAGGGTTGGGATTTGAAACTTTTAGTTTAAGAATGAGAGAACTGCGCATGCTTTGCACAAGTACAGGTAAGTATAGGTAACAAGAACTGAAGCAAATGGGTCCATATGCAAGGAAGAGGGGTTAATTTAAAGAGTGACTCTTCCATGTTTGGTGGGGAAGGAAGAAAGGATGGGTAGGTAGGTAGATTTGTTGGTGAAAAGCTAAAAGAGCTGCCATCTGATGGCTTCTATTTTTATAGTGAGGTATAAAGTAAAGATGTTCAAGGAGAGAAGGTAATGATTCTAGGACATGAGGGAGTCACAAAGGAACAGCAGGGGTTTGAAGTGACTGGAAAGATTTGTTGTGAGATGGATAGCAAGCAGACTAGAGAAACAAAGGAGCAAGGTTTGGCAATGCTGAGGGCCCCACTGAGTTCAATGAACATCAATTTACAGGGCACTACTCTACTCTGCTGCGTGGTTTTTCCCTTGCAATGTTTAAGACCTCTAGTTTTAGAGCTTAGTTGCCTGCAGACTATCTAAAATGCTCAGCAGGCAGTGACATGTGAGTCTGGAGCACAACAGAAAGACAAAGCTATAGTGGATAGCAAAAAGACTGGAATGCATAGCTGGTCAATGAAACCATAGCTATAATTAGAGCTATGCAGAGAGTCAGGTAACAGGATGACCAAATGTGGGACCCTAGAGGACATTAACATTTGGAAAATGGACCACAGAAAAGGAGCCCATGAAGGAAATGCAGAAGATTGGGCTAAGCTGAGGAAAGGGAGACCTGGGGATAATGACAACCTTAGCAAGAGCAGTTTCGCACAACAGTGGGGCTGGAAGAACTGAAGAAGGCCAAGAGAGAAAGCAATGACTGGAAGGGAATGGTGACAAGGAAAAGTATTCTATTTCCTATTTCTTGGGTTTTTTTCTTCCCATTTCTTTTCTTTTTAGGTGAAAGAGACTTGAACAAGCAGAAAGGGAAAGAATAAAAATTTAAGGGGAAAAATAAGTGACATGAATAAATTCTAAAATATGAAGAGTTCACTGAAAAAATAATCACTTGTCTTTTTACTTTAGTCAACATTTTTAAAAAATGTTATCCTTCGTTACCACTTACCATGTTAAAAATTGTGATGTCCAATATACGACCCTCCAGAAAATTGGCATGATTCCATCAGGAATGTAACTCCATGGCTTGAAACATGGATGTGGACTGTTCAATAACAATTTAAAGCAAATTAATCATAAATGACGACTAATTAAGTGAAGTATACAATTAATTTGTACATGGCAAAGTTTACTTGCATTCAGATTTTAAATTACGGACCCTAAAATTTCATATAAAACTTAACTTTTTAGATCAGAGAGGGGCTGAGAGGGAAAATAGCTTTTGGAAGTCACATTCTTATTGAGGGGTAGAACCAGGATTAAAAGACCAAGCCTTCTCCAAGTTTCTCATTAGCATCTACTGAAAGGCCTTGTGCACAACAATATTTAAAATTTATTTAATATTTAAAGTTAAACAGCATACAATGCAATCAAAAGTCTACCAGCAAAGGATGGAGGTGGGGGAGGGGAGTCAAGAATGTGGATAGACTTTTATAAGAATAAAATCCAGATGGGAAAACCTAACAATTTTTAAACAATTTGCCTTCTACAATATTTAAGATACAACAAAAGAAAGGTAGAAAGGTAGAAGGGCAAGAAGGAAGGAAGGGAGGGAGGAAGGAAGGAGAAAAAAGAAGAGAAAGTACCGTGGAGCTGGGGTGGCCGTGGCGTGCAGTCCCGTAATGTTGCTGTTCTCAGGAGGGCTGGAGTTGGCAGCAGCATGCTTGCAGCGGTTGTATATTGTCTAAAGCAACAAATGCATGGTTTAAAAATGAAAATCAAAAGGTTACCAAGTACTTAAGGGACACTGGGGTGTATCAACCTATCCACCCCAAATTACGTTCCTGGCTATGCTTTTTAGTGATCAAATTCATATAGTAATGTTTAAATTGAAAATATAAAAAAGAGAAAAGAAAATATAAGTGTAATCTTACATAATTTAGCGGTCTTGGGTCTAACATATCTCAGACATGCCGTATGATTACAATTGTCTTTTAAATTGTGAAAATCTGTTTCACCTCTTACCGTACTAACATCCAGAGGCAGTATGAAGACAATAAGAAAGCAGAGATACCAGGCTAGCAGTGTTCCAACAATTACAAGTCTATGCTGTTTCTTAAAGTCTCCATATCGATGAAGTAGAAATAATGCCAGAAAAAAGACAAAAACAATCTCGAGTCCCAAAGCTGCACCACTCATTATTGAATGGTCACTCTGACTAACCAAAGTAGTTCACGTACAGGCCTGGGTCATATCTGTAAACTGGAGAAAAAAAAAAAAAAAGCAGTATTAACATAGGAAATGACCACTTGGAAATTTCTTAATATTGCTTATTAATGTATTAATAAATTCTTTGGGAAACTGTCAAGACTTACAATGGACTACAATGAGATGAAAAGGATAATTCCTACTCTCAAGTTCTTCTATCTTACTTTTAAAGCATATCTTAAAATTTCACATAAATTATATCTTCAGGAAAAAAGACATTTTAACAAAAATTACATTAGTTCTAAAACCATTACAAAATAAGAGTACTAGACATGAACAGTTTAAAAACAATGTCATTTGGAGATTGTTCTTTAATGTAGTAAGTCCCAACAGAATATTTTATACAAATACACTACTGACTAGATCCTAGGGAGTTGGATATTTTATAAAATAAACTTTTCTAAGTCATCCATAACCCATTACTTAAGACTTTCTGAAAGAGGCAGGGAGAGACAGAAGGAGAGGGAGCATTTGAAAGTAACATTTCCTTTGTCTGAAACATTATTTTTCTTTACTGCTAATCTTGTCTAACAATTTTCAGAACTTGAAATTCTTAATTCATTTACTGCTTCACAAAATATACTTATCACTTTTCACTTATCTATAGAAATCGTATTGTCTTTTAAAAGAGTTACTTTACCTATTTTATATGCATAAACTTATCAATGATTATTGAGTAAAACTGTTTTTATTATAAATGCTGATGATAAAGACATAAGCAAATGGTTTATTTGCTATCTCTCTACTTCTAAAATAATTTACCTTTACTAACTGAAGGCAATATGTACTTTTCACCTTTGTAAAATCAATGTTAGAAATTTTTGTTTGTCAATGGACTAACTACAATATTCCAAGGAACTGATTAATATCTTAATGTAGAAAATCAAGATTGTGATGCAACCCACCAAGAGAAAATAAGGCAGGATCAATAAAACTTCAAATCAACAAACACCTCCAACCAAAACTAGTTATAAAAAAACAAAGGAAGTTTGGGTGCTTTAACTAGCTAAATTTAAATCTATGTAAGAAATATGCCTTATGTGGAGTATCACAAATAAAAATCATGTTTAATAAACTATTTTCTTCATTATTTCTTTATACTGTTGAAGTTGTTTCTTTCTAGTCCTCCAAATTTGGTTGTGCATTTCAACCAAATTATCATTTTTCTTGAATAACTAAAATTGTACCCCTTTTGTCACTATTACCATATCCTGCTATATTTTTGTTCAAAGCACTTATCCACCTGATATAACGTATATTCTTTGTAGTTATTGTCTCCCTGTAAGCCTACCCACCCCACCCCGCACAGGCTTGACAACTTTATTCAGTACCATATCCCAAGTCTCTAATATAAAGTCTGGAATATAGAAGATACTCAAAAATACTTGTTAAGTAAATAAATGAATGGAAAAAAAAATCACTGTATACTTTAGTATATACACTACTTTTTATTACTGCCGACTTCAAAGGCAACATAAAACTTGTCATGGTCTCCAAAACTGATTTTACAAATACTTACTACAACTCAAAAGGCTTAAAAACGTATTACTACTCAAAATTTCAAATTTCGTAATCTATCAAAAAAATTTACACCAGCACAATAAGAGTAAGTCAGATCTTATTTTTAAGCCAAGAACAGATTAAGCGGTTAGAGGAAAGCCTGACATAGGATGTGCTGATGAAAACCATGACCATCTTCAAGATCCAGCTTTAAAAAAAATTTTATTCACTGTGAATTTAATACAACTATTTATTTGCCTGAAATTGTCCAGTGCAAGGAATATGACAATCATAGAAAAGACTATCAGAGATTATCAAGGAATGCTAAATAAAGTATAGCAGAATCAAATGACAGAATACTACTGAAGTGTAAGAAATGATGTTTGTTAAGATTATTTAATAACATTAGAAAATCACCAGAACATTAACTGAAACACTAGATTCATACATTTTTACATAACATGCATAAAAAAAGGCAACAATGAAATATATGCAGATATCAATAACAGTTAGCTGGTAAGATTATGGGCATAAGCAAGCAACAAAATCACCGTTATAAATGTACAAATAGCTAATAAGATAATTTTTTTACGATGACTGCTTTTTTAGTCTGTTTCAACACCTGGACTTTAAAATGTTATAGATGAGTAAACAGAATTATGGATCCCTTATTCTAGTAATAAACGATTTGTTTCATCTTTTCCCACACTCATTATCTTAGTCTCCTGTTGCTGCCGTAAACAATTACTGTAACTCAGTGGCTTAAAACAACACCCATATTTCATAGTTTATGTGGGTCAGATATCCAGGCACAATGTGGCTCAACTGAGTTCTCAACATTGAAATGAAGGTGTCAGCAGGTTTGCGTTCTCTCTGGAGACTCTGGGGAAGAATCCGTTTCCAAGTTCATTCCTGCTGTTGGCAAAATTCAGTTTATGGTTACAGGGCTGATATCCTTGCTGGCTGTCAGCTGGCATTTGCCCTGCGCTACAGAGGCCGCTTTCCAGTCTTTACATGGGGCCTGTACATCTCGGAGCCAGCAATGAAAGCTAGTCAGCTCCTCCTCGTTCTAGGAATCTCACTTCCTCTTCTGCTCTTGGCTGGGTGAAAGCTCTGTTTTAAGGGCTCACCTGACCTCACTGGCCCACCTGGATAATGCAGTCAGGTTTACTGGTTCCAGGGATTTAGGTGTAGCTAGCCTTAGGGGTCTGTTACTCTGTTTCCCACAGCCTTGTTATGACACAAGGTTAGGCCTAGTGTCATGAAATTGGAGATGAAAATTGGGGTTCCCCTAACCTGAGATGAGAAAAACAATAGTTTTAAAGTCCATATCTTGACCTTGTCCCTAAATTCAAGCGAGTAATTTTTTTTCAGTCTAGAATTAGAGAGTTTTCCAAGGTTCCTTATGAATTCCTATAGCCTGTTTTTGTTACCTCAGCTGAATAACTTTCTGCTCAAGGCTAGGAATATCTGATTCTCCGCCTGATTTAGTTATTTGTATATTAAATTCATATAGTAACTGTTAATTAAAATCTAATAAAAATAAATAAAAATTGGTCAACTCAAGGTTGGCTTATTACAGAAAAAACTCATTGCCAGGGAGGGCAGCAATTTGGCAAAATATATCAAAGACCTTAAAAATGGTATATACCCTTTGTCCTAGCAATTCCTCTTCAAATAACTTAAAGAAAAACCAAAATGGAAACAAAAATTATCTACAATGTTACTTTTTACAGCAGTATAATTTAAACAAGAAAACATAGAGACAACTTAAATGTTTGCACTAAACACTCCAGGAAGTCTTAAAAATATCCACTAATCTCATCGAGGTCCACTGGCTTTTTGAGAAAAACAGCGAAGGTTTCATAAATCATTAATCCTGCTAACCTGGCATGACTGATGGGAGAGAGATGTGTGCCTGAGTCAAGGACTACCTAACAGGAACACTCCACTGCAGACAGTGATTAAGGGAGCCCGCCAGATCCCACAGTCTAGAAGAAAACTGAGATCTAAGAGACACTTCAGAGATGTCAAAAGGGACATGGGTGGGATCTGAGGGAGTATATACATAAGCAACATACATATATGCAGGGACAAATAAATATACATCAAAATGCTAACAACACTTGCTATAAAGAAGTAAAGAGATGGCTACTACTTTATTCTCTGTGCTTTCTTGTGTTTTTAATTTTAAATAATGAACATGTATTATCATTTTAAAATTATTTAAAAGTCAATATAGTAATAGGAAGATAAAACACACAGCAACTAGAAAATGAAAATTTTTGCTGTGGTGTTAAGTGCCTAAATTACAACTACTTTAAAATAGAAATGTTTTATTATCCCATGGTAAACCAACTCTAGTTAATAATTGTGTAACTTTATGCAACCGAAACTGTTAGCCCTGGCCGGGTGGCTCTGCTGGTTGGAGCACTGTCCCATATACACCAAAAGGTTGCGGGTTCGATTCCCAGTCAGGGCACACACCTAGGTTGCAGGTTCGATCCCCAGTCAGGGCGCGAACAGGAGGCAACAGATCAGTGTTTCAATCCTCTCTCACACTGATGTTTCTCTCTTCTCTTCCTCTAAAATCAATAAAAACATCCTTGGGTGAGGATTTAAAAAAAGAAAAGAAACTGTTAAATGAAGATAATCATTTCACAGGGGTGAAAGATCAAATGAAGATCAAAGGAGATATAAAACACCAAGTGGGAGCTCCAGACTCAGAGCAGGTCTTCAATAAATTCTTGTTGCTAATCTCCACCTCCTTCACATCATGTGCTTCCAGGACATGACTAGCTGCCTCAATGGTCTCAAAGCATAGCTTTACCCTGTGTTCTTTCTTCCTCTACTCCACTCCCCACAAAAACTATGCTTTTTCCTTCACATTCTCTGTGGTTACCACAGCCAGGGCTCCTCTTGCCTCACCTGACAAATTGGGATTACCTCCCTAGGTTTGCAAGGCATCTTAAACACCCCTTCCTTCACCTGACCTTGTGAGAGACAGAAGACCTCTTAGAGCCATGCCAAGCAGGTGCACCTGACATGCCATTGTCATATAGAAAGACAATGCCATCCTTCTAGGAATATGTTCAAAACAGAGCGGATCACGTGGATCATTTTCTGAACTGCAAATATGTGCAGCTGTGCAAAAATATACCCAAAGGCAAACGGCAAAATATGCCTCTGAGCACAATGGTCCTTCTAATAACATTCTTCAAATATTAATGAATTTAATAAAAATGACAAAAGTAAAAGAATAGAAGGCTGAAATTTGGAGACAAACCAAAATTCAGTCCCATGTGATTAGGAATGAAAAACAGACTTAAAGCTATCATAGGTTGGCATTAACACAGCAGCAAAAGTAGATTTTATTCAACCTCAAAATGCTAATTCATTCATTCAATCAAATTTAAGTGCCTGATATGCAGACAGAGTCTATCTTTCAAAACATCCAGTTCCAAAAGTCTTCAACATTTAAAATCCAGTCTTTTACCAACCATCAAGATATTGTACAATATTGCTTTCAAATGCCTTTCATAATTAGCATGCTAATGTTACTGACTTCGAGTACTGTTTCCTAAGTACTTTAAGGTTGGTAATGATTTTTCAGGCTAAACACACTTTAAGTGAAAAATTTAAAGGTTAAGACAATTTTAAAATTTGAAGCATTCCAAATATTTTCAAAAAAAGAGATGGATGGATGGATGGATGGAAGGAAGGAAGGAAGGAAAGAAGGGAGGGACTGAGGAAGGGAGAATTGGTAGCAATTGAACACAAAAATTTTATCAAAATCTAAAATTCTGAAATTGAATGAAAAATTTCCAACTAGAATCTAATGATTCATCAGAATCATTCTGCATTAACTTAAATATGTACCTCCATTCAGCTATGTGAAATAGTAAGTAGGAGCCAGTTCAAGGTCCTAATAATGAAAAAGAACCAGAACTATATGTGAGTAGTGAAAGTCAACGATTCTCTATCCCCAATCGAAATTTTCATTTCCAAAGATAATCATTATTCCCGTTTAAAGATTTCAGGTATAGGGAGAATTCAGCTAAGAATACAGATAGAATACCACAAGAGAATGTCACCCCCACTTTAAAATGCAAGAGTCATAACTGAGTTGGCAAACCAACCAGGTGAACTGAATTCCAAAGCATGACAAGCCGTCTGAAGAAACATGGACACACACTGTTTCACCTTTGGTAAGACACAAGAGGGAGAGGCAATCAACCATGTAAGCAGGTCAGAAGAAAAGAGGAGCTACAATGGGTGCTTAAAGGCTTTAGGTAAAGAGATTGTAAGACTTACTTTGATAATTAGATAATGATCCTTAGAATCCTTCCTAATAACAAAATAATATTCTAAAAAACAGGAAGAGCCAGTGTGAGTTTACTGGATTCCAAGCATCTTGCAAGCATGCTTTAGTGAATTAAATCTCATAACCCAGGAAGAAAGGGCTGTTAGTATCCTTGTTCCATAAGAGAGAAAATGGCACAGAGAGGGCCAGAGCTGGAATCCAAACCCCAACATCCTGACTACAGAGCCCAGCTCACAATTAGGATACTACACATTCTCTTCTCCAGTCCAGACATATCTTCTTAATGCAATTTAAACTACTTAAATAATTTCTTTTGCTCAGTTTTCACAGTAAACAAACAAGCATTCTCCTATTAATTATTCTCTTAGGTATATCAAGGTAGAATGCTAAGAAAGTCCTGTTTAATACAGAATTTAACTAAGCCTTTTTACCTTACAGGCAAGACTGTCATTACTTAAAGGTAACAATATGACTCTGATCTACACAGGAAAAGTAGAAAAGAAAACAGTGAGCAAATTAAATTAGAAAAGAACCCTTCTTAATCTTTTGTTCCCCTAAGCTAAAGAACACTTAAGAAACTAAGGCAATCTTAAGATTTACCTCACGCTGTGATGGAGCTATGGAAAAAGCACATCCCCCTTCTATTTCAATAGAATCTTTTCTCATATTGATGTTCAAGGACACTAACATACTACTGAATATAGATACACCTTATAGTCCAATGTAATTTCCAGTCCTTGCCGGCCCCTCCTGTGCACCGATCTTGTAACTATGTTCTTCCCTCTTTGAATGATAAACTTGCCCAGTTTACAAAGTCACTTTGTTTTCTACCTGAAGCGTCCAAAGAGTACCAGAAATTACTCACTCTAATGCCATTTGTAGACATAAAATTATAGTTCATTTGTCCTAGGTAATGATCTAGTAATTCTACTTGTGGAAATATAGTATAGATATCTCACTGAAGTGGGACATCGCGAGTGTTGAATAACAGTAAATGAATAAAATTAATCAGGAACATAAAATAATCCACATCAGCTGCAATCACAATGCAGTTCTTGAAAACACCAGCCATCAATCTGTGTGTACGTAGTGATCTCAAGTCTTCAATGGATCCAATTTCTTATATTCAACAGAATCACGCGTACCAATTTAAACTTTCATTTAACATATATTGAGAATAGCCATGATTGGAAGGAATGCAGGGGGGCAAAAAGCACTCTCATTTTAGCAGGCTAAAGTATTTCTGTTACCAGGACAATCTACTAGTGAAATATCTACTCTAGAATTAGAAGACTTTGACTTTCAAAGTTGACAGGCTCTCTCTGAAGTCCCATTTAGGATCTCATGTCCACCAATTCAGACATTTCAAGTTCTCTGAGAACTAGAAATGTTCCTAGCTCTCAGGCACTAGCAGCTAAATCCTAGCCCAAGAATATTTCTCAACTTTAAATTTAGAATCATCCTGTCTACTAGACCTTCCTGTCCATAAGGTCTGTATCTAAAATGGCCTCTCTCATTATTCTATATGTCGAGACTTTGCTTATTCTCATCATAGCATTTTAAAGTTTTTTTGCTGTTTATTTTTCCTCCATGTGCTTATAAGTTTCATCTTGTTCACTTTCCTGAAGGAGACTATAATTTTTTTGTTAAAAATTTTTTCTCTAATGACTTGCAATTTTAAGGGAAGGGATGCAGATTTCAAATTAAGCTAACAGCTTTCTCATTATCCAATGTAACATGAAAGTTCATGTAAAAAAAAACAAAAGAGAATATTGCATTTAAAAATATTTTCCATGTAACCTTAGTTTAATGAATTCTGAACATTCGGCCCAGCTATTCTTAGCCTAGTTTCAATCCAAATCAATTCATGAACAGACCCCTTGTTTACACCAATTTCACCTACTTGCAAGAACAAACTAAATGTTCATGAATACATTTCTCTGTCAAGAGGGAGTATTTACTTTTCAAGCTATGCACCAAGCCTGCAACAAGCACATACCTGGGCAAGGGAGGTTTCATTCCAGTATAAAGTGAATCATTAAGAGATACAGGAAAGTGTGTCATACAGCAAACATGTAATTCTTGTGATGGCGCTGGCCTGCTTCCTGGTGAACTTAGTAAATCCTCTCCGTTTTTATTAGGGTTGCAATTTATTCCCCGTCTTCTGCTGCTTTCCCGGGTCGCGGTCACAGTGCAGCTTGCACAATGGATTTCGCACGGTCATCCAACCTGGAAGATGGCACACTCGCTGCCGTAGCCGCCTCGGAACGCCTCCCGGGGAGACGGGCTAAAAGCAGCTCCCTTTCCGGCGGCGATGCCGCGGGAGGCGGCAGGTAGAGCGAGAGCAGCAGAAGGGCCCTGCTGGCGGCCCCAGCGCTGCACTGCAAAGCCCTCTGCACGCACCGCCAGCTCATTTATTCCGGTGCAGCACCCGCGAGCCTCGTCCAGGCTGCGCGGGGACGGGCCGCTCTCCCCACTGCACCCGGCAGGAAACGCTGGGGGCTCCCACCCCCCTGAAGCTAAGCCACGCCTGTCGGCCCGACTGCGCTTTAATTTACCAAACGCTGTCCCAGGCGGTCTCCGATTTGACCCTCGCTCCCCGCCCGTGAGATGCGCCTGTTTTACAGACGAGGAAAGGACCTAGTCCGCAGACCCAGCGCTGTCCACACTGAAGGGCCGCCGCCTCGGGGCAGCGGCGACAGCAGGTGCGATGCCCCCGGCTCGCAGCCGCTCACCCGGCCCGCGAACCGCGCCACCGCCTCCGCTCGGGGGCCGGGGGCTCGGGCCTCCTATTCCCGCCGGCGCTCGGCCCCAGACCCCGGACCTCGGACCCCAGACCCCAGACCTCAGGTGCTTCACGCTCTGCCCCACAAGCTCACCGGCCGATCTCGCCAGACAGCGCCTGGAAAGACCGGGAAACTCCGCCTCCGCCTCCGCCGGCCAGGGTCTGGGACCCACGCTCTGAGGTGACGGCGGCGGCGGTCACCAGAAGGCCTTCGGGCTCCTGGGAAAGGAAAACCCGATCCCCCTTCAAGCGGCTGACATATCCAAGTCAGCCACAGCACCGCCCGCTTCCGCTTCCCCGCCTC